ATGAGTGGTTTGTCTCTGATCCCCGTTGTGTGAATCAGAACGTCGCCAGGCAAACCAGCAACCTCACACGAGCCGACCTGCGATAGGCACCCGCAGTGAACCTGTACCTGCAGCGAACCTTGGCCAACGTCAGGGGAGGAACCTAATGACACCGCCGCCGCTACCCGTCTTTCGCCACCACGGCTGGATTCGCATCCTTGGAGAGGTCCGAGGAGAAGCGGTATCAGTACTTCCTTGTTTCCTCACAGGGCCCCTGCATCGAGGCCCCTTGGTGCCGTGGGCTGCTGCTGGCCCTCCTCGGGCCTCCGGGGCGCTCCGCGCAAAGCATCTGCATCGGGGCGTCGGGACACTCCGTCCAAGTGGAAGGTTTTGCCGTCGACCCTCGAGGGTCGATTGGGGGAGGTCTGGCCCTCGCCGGACCTCTGGAGCCCTCTGGGAGCCCCCTGGGACTTCCAAGCGTGAGGACCCAAAGCGGCAGCAAAACTTCCAAAACGAACGAAGGAACAAACACCGCTGCGGACAAGCGTCCGTGCCTGGCTTAGGCCAGGTGTGTGATGCCGTGACCTCTCGGCTGAAACTAGCTAAGTTTTCGATTTTGTCTCCCCGTCCCGCGTTTTGCTCTCAAGATGCCAAATTGTCGCTTGAAGAACACCCCCCAGGGCCCCCGAGATTGTCCAAGACGGTCCCGAGGTGGCCCCCAAAGGTCCCAAGATGCCGCCCAAGTCGCCCATGATGGCCCAACACGGCCCCAAGATGGCCCCCAAGACGCCCTTGAGATGGGCCCTGGATGCCTCAGAATAGCGCGGACATGACCCGAGATGGCCCGAAGATGGCCCCAGCGGCCCTGGGATGTCCCTGAGGCCCTTCCATGGCCCAAGATGCGCGCAAACAACTGCCCGGATATGGCCACAGGATGGCTCAGCCCAGGTGGCCGCCTGCAGAGGGCGCGACCCCATTCAGACACAGCAGGCTCAGGGCAACGGAACGATATGCAACGCCACGCTTCAGGGCCACACCATCCACGAACCTCCCCGAACCGCTCCCGACTCGCGAGCGGAGTCCCGTGCCCGAGCTGACGCGGCCAAACCTGGCGCAGCTGTGTGCAACGCACACAGACAGCAACACACGGCGGGTCCCGGAGACCCTGGACCCCGAAATGTTGTCACCCCTTGGAGGGCAACTTTTTACTGCCGCCGCCTTCCGCCGAGGAAGTCGGCTACACGTAAGAGTGACACTAGGCAACAGTGACCTTTAGTGCGCGGAGTCAGGGGGCGCTTGGTGGCCAAATCCAAGCGCGCAAGCAACCACTATTGCATCGCGCTCAGCGAGCTTTGATACCCCAGTGAACCCGCACCAAAGGTCACTCTGGCGAAAGGTCAGTCCTACGTGTAGTCGAGGAGGGATGGCATCTCCTTCGATCTCTGGAACGCCTCGCAAGTTGTTGCAGAGCGCCCCACCCTCTGCGCGAGGAGCTTGCGGTGGCCCGTGCAGAGCACAGGTGTCAAAGGGCCCAGGGACACACAAGTAGATAGGCACAAGTCCAAGCACTGCCCATATGTTCCCATACCTATACGACCACCCTTGGAGTGATAAGGAGGTTGTGAGGGGGGGAGAGGGGGGGAACCAACATCTGACTCAATCGATCTCACTATCGATCTCACTCAACGGGACACCACAGGACACCACGGGCCACCATGGTACACAGAGGGGCACCGCGGGACACCTCTCGATCTCACTATCGGTCTCACTATCGATCTCACTATTATCGATCTCACTCAACGGGACACCACGGGACACCACGGGACACCTCGAGTCACCACATCGATCTCACTATCGATCTTACTCTCGATCTCACTATTGATCTCACTATCGATCACACTCAACGGCACACCACGGGACACCACGGGACACCTGTCGATCCCACTATCGATCTCATTGTCGATCCCACTTTTGGGACACCACGGAACACCTCGGGGCACCACATCGATCTCAGTATTGATCTCACTGTCGATCTCACTATCGATCTCACTCAACAGGACACCACGGGACACCGCTAGGGCCACCGCCGGACGGAGCATAATCATTTGACTTGACTTCGCCCTAGCAACGGCGGACACCACGGGACACCACGGGACACCGCTAGGGCCACCGCCGAACGGAGGAGAATCATTTGTCTTGACTTCGTCCTGGCAACGGCGGACACCGCGGGACACCGCGGGACAGGGCGGGACACCGCTAGGGCCACCGCCGGACGCACGGAGGATAATCATTTGTCTTGACTTTGCCCTAGCAACGGCGGGTTCATTCCTCTCGCGCGCCCACGCAACTTCGCCTCGCCCGCACGCACGACACGAACGAAACGGAACGATTTCCTGGTTGGGGGTCTCCGTTCCACTGCGACCTCACCCCCCAACCTCCGATTTTCTGGGTTTTCCTCTTCCCCCCCACTTCCCATCTTCTCCCATGTTTTCCGGGGAATCGACGATGATTTGTGTCGGTGTGCTTCTTCCCTCCTGAAGGGGGTCCGCAATCAAAGGGCCCGGCCAGCGCCTCCCGACGGCGCGCACCCGGGCACGTGCGAGCGCCGAAGAAGCACCCCCTCCGTGCGCACGCGCTGAAGCAGCGCGGAACGAAGGCATAATGGCGCGTGCTGCGAGAGCGCCGAGCGCGCCGGAGCCAGCCGCCGTGCCAAAGCAAGGCCCCCTCGGGCAATGAAAGCATAATGGCGGGAGGCTCCTCCGTATTCCCGGCCTCTGGAGCTCCTTACGGTTAAGTCGGGCCTGTCCCCCTACAGGGGGATTTTCGACGAACAATAAGGAATACTCAAAAAATTATCCAAAATAACCAAAACATGCTCAGAAAAATTGTCCCCAGGTTATTTTTTGACTATTCTTGAACATTCCCCGGCAGGGCTTCTCGGGAGACTCAGAGCCCCCGCGCCTTTTGAGAGGTGTTCTGTTTCTTCGGGGAAGGCTCAGAACACTTCTCAGAAGGCCGGGGGACTTCCGAGCCTTCTGAGAAGGCCCGCCCCTTCTCATTTCCCCCCCCCGGACTCGCCGGCGAAGCAAACAACGACACCGAAGCGAGGCCCCACCCGGCAGACAGCGACACAGAGCAAACGCCAGTGCCCCACCCCACACAACTGCAGAACATCATTACGGGTGCTTCTGATCACGGACGCGGGTGCCGTGGGCACTGGACCGTCCCTGACCGTCCCCGAGCCTCCCCTGACTCACGCGCGGAATCCGAGCCTCACGCTGAAGCAGCCACACGCAACACACAAAAAGTATCCTGGAGAAGGTCCCACCCATGTGGGACTGCGAGCACCGCGAGGCAAGTGAGAAGGAGGGGGGCCGAGCAGATTGACGGACTGGCGCGCAGATCCTGGCGGGGCGGCGCCGTGCGAACGCTGTCACTGGGGCCTTCTGTGAACTCTCTATGGGGCCACGGAGCGCGCGGAAGGTGTGCCGCCTTGGGGGCGGGCACGGCAGGCGGACCCTGGCACTGGACCCCCGGTGGGGCCCCGCACGGGCACGCGAAACGCGCGAGGGGCGTGCCGCAGCGGGAGTGGGCGCGCCGTGCGGGCCCTGTTGCTGGGGCGTGCGTGGGAGCTCCCTCTGGAGCCACGAAGCGCTTTTTTTCTCCTGCCGCCACCGATGCAGGGACGAACTTGCTTGGAGGTGCCGCGGCGCTGCGGCCGAGCGCCCCGCCTTTCTGCCCACCGCACTTGGGCCAGTGAAGGCTCCTGGCCTCTGGAGCCACGAGACGTGAGGGCTATATGCCGAAGTGGAGGCAAGGCCGCCAGGCGGACCCTGGCGTGGGGGTCTCAGCTGGGGCTCCCCATCGGGCCACGGAGCGCGAGAGGCGTCTGCCGAGATGCGGCGGCGCGTGCGGGCCACAGCATGTGGGCCTCCGTTGGAGCCCCCTTCTGGAGCCACGAGGTGTGTGAGCGGCGCTCCGAGATGAGGCGGCGCCGTCATGCGGACCCTCGCATTTGGGCCTGAACCGGGGCTCCTCATGGGGCTGCGACACGTGTGACGGGCGTGCCGAAATGAGGTGGCGCCGCCATGCAGACAGACCCTGGCGTTTGAGCCTTAGCTAGGGCGCCCTATGGGGCTACGACGCGTGTGAGGGGCGTGGCAAAATGGGGCGCCGCCGCCATGCGGACCCTGGCCTGTGGGCCTTGGTTGGAGCTTCCTAGGGGGCTAAGAAACGTATGAGGAATGTGCCGAAATGGGTGTGCGGAGAGCAGAGGAAAGAGGGTGAGGAGGGGGCATCGGGGGGAGCGAACGCGGGACGCTGCCTTTTCAAGACGAGAGCCCAACACCACGGGATGGCTGGGAAAGCATGCAGTGTCTTCCGATCACCGCGGTCGGCGCGTTATGAACCGCACCCTCCTTGAACCTCCCCGAACCTGTCCTGGCTCACACACTGAATCCCGAGCTCAAGCTGAAGCAGCCAGTCGCAGCGTGAAAGAGTGCAAATCAAACAATTGTCACAGCAGACAAAAAAAGAATGGTAAACAGCATGCCAATGCAACAACCATACTGATCACTGTGGTTGGCGCTGTGGGCACCGCACCACCCCTGAACCGCCATAAATTTCTCACGACTCCTGCGCACCCAGCCATGCGAAGCGCCCAAAACAGCGAAACGCACAAGACACACTTGAAGCGACAACCCATGCACACACACACACACACACACACGCACACACACGGGCAACACGATGTTTCGCGTTATGGCCGTTGGTGCTTCGACACCAAGCCCTCCTTGAATCTCCACACCCCCAAACCACTCCCGCATCACGCACGGAATCATGAGCGCAAGCTGGCACAGGCAATCACAAAGCTAGGCCGAGTATGATAACTTTGATCTTCAGAAGCTTAAGCTTCAGCCGAGTGCACTTGCGTGTTAATTGCGTGCCGTCCCACCGTGAGGTACACGGCTAAGCAAGTGAAGGTAGGATGTCAACTGCTCTCGCCCCCTCTCCCCGCCGCTCCCGCCCATTGCAGATCACACCTGGCAGCACCCCTGTCAGCGCTTCAAGCGAAGGCCGACCACGGTGCAAAGCACCCCCCGGCGACCGCGGCGGTGGCATGAGCGCAAGCTACAGGCAGGACAGACAGAAACATTCGCGGCGGCCAAACACTTGAGAATCGAGGGACTCTGGGAAGGCCGTGCCGAGCGGACCCGCTTCTTTCGGACGCGCGTCGTACCGCGCGCTGGCGCCGCCAGAGACTTCCTGGCACCGCCAGCTCGGCTCCGGGCGCCGGCAAAGGTCGCAGAAGCCGCCCCCCTGAGCCCAGCGTGTGCAGAGGACCCGATCTTCTCCGCACGTCGGAATCTTATCGATTCGAGTACTCCAGATTTCGTAATAAAGGGAGGGGGGTCTCATTTCGGGGGGGGGTCTCTTCCAGGCTATCTTGGAGAGCCTGGGGGGTCTGGGGACGATGTTTTGGAGGGTTCTCCCACGGGGGAGGTCTGAAGTGACTTGTCTTGGAGGGTCCAGACCCCCTCCCTTTTATTACGAAATCTGGTGTAGCCGGAATCGGAACAAACATCGAATACGCATTCAGCAGGCAGGACCAGAGAGAAACTCGGATCGGGGCTGAATCGGACCTGAGAGAGAGAACGCGTTTCGCGGGCGCTTGCTCGCCTTGGGAACATTCGGCGGCGCGTTTCGAACCCAGGGGTGGGCCCCCCCCCCAACACTCGGCGCCGTGATCAAAACCAAGGGAACTCCCCTCCCCCCCTACAGCCCCCCCCTCCCGAACCCCCCCCCGCCCCCCCCTCCCCAAGGGGAGGAGGGGTTCAATCCCCCCCCTCCCTGGCGCCAGCGCCGGCGGCCGCCAGCAGCGCCGACGGCGGGGACGCAGCGACGATGACCAGAGGCAGCCCAAGGGGGTGGTGGGGGGGGGGCCCATTGGCGCCGGCGCCGGCGCCAGCAGCACCGGCGCTGGCGCTGGCGACGGCGGGGACGCAGCGATGATAACCACCATTACCACCGCCACCACCACCACCACTACCACCACCACCACCGCCTCAACCCACCACCACCAACAAGAACCCACCACACAACCACCAGCACCACCACAGCCACCACCACTACCACCACCACCACCACCACAACTCACCATCACCACCACCACCACAAAAAAAAACACCACCAGTGCCACCACCACCACCACAATCGACCACGCCACCACCACCACCGCCACAACCGCCACCACTACCAGCAGCACAACCCACCACCACCACCACAAACCACCACACCACCATGACCGCCACCGCCACCACCACCACCAGCACCACCACCACAAACCACCGCCACAACCCACCACCACCACCACCACCACAAACCACCACCACACCACCACCACCAAACCATCACCACCACCACCAAACCACCCACCACGACCACCACCACCACCACAACAAACCGCCACACCACCGCCACAACCACCACCACAACCACCACCACCGCCACGACCACCACCGCCACTACCACCACCACAACCCACCACCACCACCACCACCACCACCACCACCGTCGTCCTCGTCGACGCTCCCCGCCGCCGCCGCCCGCCGCTGCAGGCGCCGGCGCCGGCCCAGAAAAGGAAATCGCCGTCCCCGCCGCCGCCGCCGCCGCCAGCCGAGGAGAAGGAGAGAGGAGAGGTAGGGCGGGAAAGGGTTCGAACCCCCCCCCTCCGTCACACGGGGGGAGGGGGGGGGAGGGGTTCGAGCCCCCCCCCCCTTCTCCATCCAGGGGGGGGGGGGTCCGGTTCCAACCCCCCCCCTCCAAGCGACGACAGGACGCGCTCTTTCGGACCTGGCGAGCCGAAAGAGGTCCCCCACGCGGGGCACCCGAAGAGAAGCCCACCGCGGTGCCCACCGGCGGGCCTCTCCGCGTCCCGAGCCGTGCAGCTTCTGGACGGCCCCGGCGCCCGACAGCGGCACTTACCAGGGTTGGCGGCGAGCGAGGGGGGGGATAATGATTGCTCGGCTACACGTACCCTGACCTTCCAGAGAGCTATTTTTAAGCACTGGCAACCTAAAAACCTAAAGAGCGAAACGAAACAGCCTAAAACCAAGACGTAGAATAGCTCTGGGATGGGTTTTTACGTCGGGTGCTATTTTTTAGCCCTCCTGGAAGGTCAGGGTAAGAGTGACCCTGGGTAAGAGTGACCTTTGGTGCACGGCTTTTGGGGGGGGCCGCGGGGGGGCCAGATCCAGGCGCGCTAGCCGCTGCTACCGCTTCGCGTTCGGCCATCTGGGGGCCCATCTGTGCCCGCACCAAAGGTCACTCCGGCGAAAGGTCACTCTTTCGTCTAGTCGAACGATTGAGCAGGGACCGACCGTCCTGGCATTCCTATAGTCCTACCACGACATGTTCTTAGAACCCAGTGATGTTCTAGGGACAAGAGGAATGTTCTTAGAACATAAGCCCGATGTGATAAAACAAGACAGACTCCGCCAGAACTGTTCGAAGAACATTGCGTGGAAACCACAAAAGGTTCTTAGAACATTGCTTGGTAGGGCTATCGGCGAGCCCGGACGCTTCGCCACTGCTTGAAATGAGAAGGACCTTCTCAGAACATTCTCAGGTGGCCCCCCAGGCCGGCCAGAAGCCTTCGCCGCTGCCTGATTGAACGATCGGGCGTTTCCGAAACGTCAGATCGTTCAGCATTGGCCGATTCTGGGTCGCCGGCGGCGTTCAGCGGTGAACGCCGGCGGCGGGGTCGCCACGGGTCGACACGACGCGAGTTACCGCAAACCCATATAGCATCACCGACGCCGCAGTACTCGGCGGCGACCGAAGGGGGGAAGGCGAGAAGGAGCAGGCCTGCTCAGGAGGCGGCGAGACGGCTCGGAAGCCCTCCCGCCCTCTGCGAAGCTTCCTCTGACTTCGGGGGAGGCCCGGGGAACTTCTGAGAAGGCCAGGGGACCTTCGAACGTTCTGAGAAGGCCCGCCCCCCCTCTGAAGGGGCCCTGGGACACACGCAAATCAATACACACAAATAAAAAGACTCCCCATAGTTTCCCACATGTTCTGGGTTTCTGTCCTCCCCCCACTTCCCATGCTTTCCCATATTCTCCTGGGGGGGTCGACGATGAATTGTGTCTGTGTGTGTTTCTGTTCCCCTCCTGACTCCTGAGGAGGCCAGGGGACCTTCGAACGTTCTGAGGAGGCCCGCCCCTTCTCCCGCTTCCCCCTCGCGCTCGCCGCCGGCGGGGGCCGGCAGAGGCGGCGGAGAGCCCGCGCCCCGACGTCGCCCCCCTCGCCGTCGCCCGGGCGCACGCTTCTCGCTGCCGTGCGTGCTGCTGTTGTCTTGCTCGAGGATCCAGGAGCGATCCTCGATGGTCCTCGCCGAGACAAACATGCACGCGCCCCGATTTCGTCCCACTCGCCATCGCTCGGGCGTCCGTTCCCCGTGCATGTTTATCGCTGCCGTGCGTGTATGTCGGTTGCTCCAGGACCCGGGAAGGCTCCTCGATGGTCCTCGCCGAGAAGAGAAGTGCACACGCCCGAGCGATGTCAAGACCAGAGGCTGGGTGCCTGAACCCCTCCACGGGTGGCCGCTAACGGAGGGGGAACGGCGGATGGGGGGCGGGTGCGATGCATTTCCAATACGCTGGGAGCTCGACCACAAGACACCTTCAACAAGAAACCCAACCCTGGAACCCCAGGACGTCCACTGACTTTTGGTGTGGGAACGTCGCGCTTCCCATCGCAAAACCAAGGAAACCCAAGGCACCCTGGAGGCAAGCAGGGTGTTGCCTGGCCTGGGCTCCCACTGTAGCATTAAGTCGGGCCTGTCCCCCTACATGGGGATTTTCGATGCAAAATACTAAAGTACCCCAAGAATAATCAAAACATAGTCCAACAATCGTCTGGGGACAATCTTTTTTTATATTTTTTTGACATTTGGGGATTATTTTTGGGGGATGTGTTATTTTTCATCGAAAATCCCCCTGTAGGGGGGACACGCCCGACTGAACTGTAGCACCGGCGACGGGCCCTCGATGGCAGGAAGGCGCGGCCCTGGGCGGGGCCGGGGGGCACGAGGCGCCACGCTCGGCGAGGCATGGGCGAACGAGGGCCGATGCCTCCCTCCCTCGCCCGGGGGGAAACAAAAAAACATACAAAAACACACAACACATTCAGTCTGTGGGAAAAACACACACGTGTGTTCTTTTTTCCCACGGGTGCGCTTTTTCCCCACAGCGTGTGTTTTTTTTTTCCCACGTGTGTTGGCGGCGCGCACAAGGGGGTGGAGGGAGGGGGGGAAGGCTTCTTAGAAGGAGGCTGCCTCTTAGAAGGCGCCACTCCTCGCATCTATAGATGGAGCCCGCGCCTTCTAAGAAGCAGGGTTGCTTCTAAGAAGCCCTTCCCCCTCCCCCCACCCCCCACTGCGCGTGGCTGTCAGGCCTCCGCCCCGTTTGTTTTGTCACACTGTGGGTCCATTGAGGCTCAGACCACCACTTCTGCGGGACCGACTCTTGGCCCTGAGCATTCTGCGACGGCCGCGGGGCCTGGCAAGGGACCCGCGGTGGCCGCACAAGGGCCAAACACCGTCCGCGAGGAGGTCTGAGTGTGCAAGTCTTCAACATCGGATGGGTTGTTGGGGTAACTCGGCCCTCTGGCGACCGTTCGGGACGATCCGGGCACTCCCAGAACTCTCTCTCGGTGAGGCGCAGCCGTTGGAATGGATCCCGAGGCTGGAAAATCGGCGAGAACACACGAAAGCGCTCGAAAAGCTGGGATTTCCGTCGAACCTGAAACAGCGAGGAGGAGGCCTGAGTTTGAAAGTCCCCCCCGTGTCGCTGCCCCATGAGGCGAGGCTCAGCCGCTGGAAGGCATCCCGCGGCTGGAAAGCCAGCGAAAGCCTCGAACCCTGAACCTTGACGCTTCGATCTCGAACCAAAGACGCCCGAAACCTTGAGCCTAGAACCTTGACACTTCGCCCTCGAACCTTGAACCGTGAACTTTGAACCAAACACGCCCGAAAACCTCGAACCTTGAAACTTCGTCCTCTACCCCTCACTGCCGCTGCCCCGGCCTGGCGCGGGCGCCTGGAGCCCTGCAGCCCCTGCTTCCGCTGCGCTCTTCGAGCCAGATCGATCCACGGGGGTCCTGGAGCCCGAAGCTGTGCGAATTCGCACGTGGTGAGAAACAGCTCCGACGCCAGGATATCAGGGCCCGTCCTTGTTTTCGCGGCGCGAGGAGGTGTGTGTGAGCAGAGTGCCCCCACTGTCGCTGCCCCCAACGATCCTCCTCCTCCTCCGCCTCTATTCTGAACCCCCCTCTATCGTCGGTCCTTGAGCCTCCTCCCTATCCACTATCCTGGATCCTCCTCCTCCTCCTCCTCCTCCTCCTTCTCCTCCTCTATCCTCGAAGCTCCTCCTCCATCCCCCTCCCCGTCTTCCTCCCCGTCCTCCTCCTGTTCGTCCTCCTCCTCCTCCTGCTCCTGCTCCTGCTCCTGCTCCTCCTCCTCCTCCTCCTCCTCCTCCTCCTCCCCTATCCTTGCTCCGACTCCTCCTCCTCCTCCTCCTCCTCCTCCTCCTCCTCCTTCTCCTCTGTCTGCTCGTTGCCCTCTTGCTCGTGTTCCTTTGATCCCTGGACCCTCCCCCTGTCGCTGCCCCCCCGTCGGGCGACGGGGCGCGCGGTCACAGCCCGGAGGACGACGCCCGCTCAGCGTGCTGGTCGTCCGCGCTCCGCTGCGCTTCCTGCAGGCGGGCCTGGAGGTCGGGCCTGCCCGCCGCCTCACAGAGCTTCAGCACCTGCGCCGAGGGGGGGACTCCGCATCCCTCCTCCTCCGCCTCCTCCTCCTCCTCCTCCTCCTCCTTCGCCTCCTCCTCCTCCTCCGCCTCCTCCTCCTTCGCCTCCTCCTTCCTCCTCCTCCTCCGCCTCCTCCGCCTCCTCCTCCTCCGTCGCCTCCTCCTCCTCGGTCCTCCTTCTGTCCTCCGTGGTCCTCGCATGCGTCTTGAAAGTTAGCAGGGTTTCAAAGATTCGTATGGGTGGACTCCCAACAGTGGCTACCTGCCAATATAGGATTGTCAGGAAACAGAAATCACGTTGATCCGCGATGCTGGAAAACACGGAATGGTGATATGGCACGATTTGGGATTGTCAGGACGCAACAGCCACATTGAGTCGCTGCGTTGAAGTCCCAGGAATGTTGCTTTGGCAAGATTGGAGATTACGAAATTTGAAATACATACTCCCAGGGACATATGCACAGGAAACTTGGATGTCAACTGATTCGCACATCCTTGACGCGTCACGTGTAGTTAACATGGTCATCGGTCCTCCTCGTCCTCCTCCGCCTCCTCCTCCTCCTCATCATACTTCTCCCCCCCCCTCCATCTTCTCCTCCCCCTCCTCCTCCTCCTCCTCCTCCTCCTCCTCCTCCTCCTCCTCCTCCTCTCCCTCCCCCTCCAATTCCTTCTCGCCCTTCTCCCCCTCCCATATCCTCCTCCTGCTCCCTCTCCTTCTCCTCCTCTTCCTCCTCCTTGGTCCTCCTCCTCCTCCCCCGCCCCCACCTCGCAGAGCTCCCGCCAGCGATCTGGTTCGAGTCTGACTCCGTGCCGACGCGGCCGGATCCGTCGCAAATTCCGATTCGATCCAAACGCCAGATTTGAATTTGCTCCGATTTCCTGAGCTGCTGCTGGCTGATCTTGCCCAGGGTTGGCTGCCTGCCGCCTCGCAAAGCTACAGGGAGGAGGGCGCCACTCACGCGGGGTCCAACCGTTAAGAGTAAGCTTGTGACGTTGGCCTCTGGAATTCTCGACCCCTGCATCAAGATCATGGTTCGTCCCAAGCAGTGTTTCGACTGACCTATGAAGCCTAAAACTGCCCTTGGACTCCGAACACAAAAAAAACAAAAACAATAGAAGTACCATCATTGCGCAGATCACAGCACGAGAAAGTTTTAGCATCCCCCCACGACGCCTATCTGTCAGCTGCCTCGACCTGGATTATTGCCGTCGATCGGAATGTGGGACATGAGGGTGAGGAAAACAAGAAAAGGAGGAGGAGGACGGCAGAAGGAAGGATGAGGATGAGGATACTGATGAGGATGAGGATGATGAGGATGAGGATGAGGATGATAATTGATGATGATGATGATGATGCTGCTGATGATGATGATGATGATGATGATGATGATGATGATGATGATGATGATGATGATGATGATGATGAGGAAGAGGAGGAGGAGGAGAGGAGGAGAGGAGGGGAGGATGAGAAGGATGAGGATGATGACGAGAGGAGGAGGAGGGGGAGGCAAGGGGGAGGAGGAGGGGAGGAGGCAAGGGGGAGAAGGAGAGGAGGAGGAGGAAGGAGGAGGAGGAGGAGGAGAGGAGGAGGAGGAGGAGGGCAGGAGGCAGGGCAGGAGAGGCAGGAGGCAGGAGGCAGGAGGACAGGGCAGGAGGCAGGAGGAGGAGGAATGGGGGAGGAGGGAGGAGGAGGAGGGGGAGGAGGAGGAGGAGGAGGAGGAGGGTGGAGGAATGAGGAGAAGGCGGAGGGAGGGGATATGACCAGCGGATGCTGTGGAGGAGGCTGGAAGAGGGCGGAGGGAGGAGGAGGTGCCTGCCTTGCCCACGAGGGTGCCCCTGGCGTCGCGCTGGTGCACCAGCTGCTCCAAGGCGGCCTCCGCCACGCCCACCGCCTCCTCCGCGCGGCCTCGCGGAAGGGCGCCCGCGCGCCCCGCACTGTTCCCCGTGGCTGCCAGCACCGCCGAAGGGCGGAGGAGCTGGATCTGCCCAACTGCGCCCAATCCGCGCTCCTCCTAGCTCCTCCCTGCGCCCTCCTCCCTCCTCCCTCCTCCCTCCCCTCCTCCACCCTCCTCCTCCCTCCTCCTCCTCCTCTCTCCTCCCCCTCCTCCTCCTCCTCCTCCTCCTCCTCCTCCTCCTCCTCCTCCTCCTCCTCCTCCATGCTTCTCCTTATAAATCCGTAACTTCTCCCTGTCGCACCCCGAGGCCAGCTTCTAGGGCGGGCTGGGCGTTTCGCCTGAGAGTTCCTCACCAGGTATCAGTTTCACACATGGAGGGCGGGCCGTTTTCAAAATGTGGCTCTCGCCATAGCGCGGCGCGCATTCGTTGCACAAAACTCAAGAGCTTCACACATTGAGGGCGGGCCGTTTTCAAAATGTGGCTCTCGCCTTAGCGCGGCGCACATTCGTTCTAAAACATTGCGGCGCACATTCGGTTGACAACTTTGCAAGGAGCTTCACGGATTCAGGGCGTGTCGTTTCCAGAATGTGGCTCTCGCCTTAGCGCTGCGCGCATTCGTTTTGAAACAATGCAAGAGCTTCATGGTTTGAGGGCGGTTCGTTTTCAACCTGTTGCTCTCGACATAGCGCGGCGCACGTTGGTTTTAAACATTTGCCAGAGTTTCACGGGTGTGGGCGGGTCGTTTTCAAAATGTGGTCCTCGCCACAGCGCGGCGTTCACTCGCTTGAAACGTGTGCAGGAGTTTCACGGATTGAGGGCGGGCCGTCTTCAAAATGTGGCTCTCGCCCCTAGCGCGGCGCACATTCTTTCTGAAGAAATCGCAAGAGTTTCACAGATTGAAGGCGGGTCGTTTTCAACATGTGATTCTCGCCGTCGCACGGCGCATTTTCGCTGTAAACATGTGCAAGCGTTTCACGGATTCTCATTATCAACGTACCAGAAGATATATTTTGAAAGCGCTCAGGATTCCGCGGGCGCATCAGTTACCTCGATTCGCTGTGTGAAGTCCCAGGGATGGCGTTCTGGCGTGATGCCGGATCGTCAACACGCAACAGTCAGGATGATTTCCGTGGCGTAGGAAACCCGAAAACAATGCTTTGGCATGCTTCCGGGACTTCAAACGGCTGTCTTCCAACGAGGCAGTTCCCCCAATGGAAATGAACCGTTGTAGGGGCATGTGAAGAGGGTCTTGGAGGGAGGGTTGATTCCAACATCGTTGATGACTCTGACTCTTGGGTTTCCACTGGTCCTCCTCCTCCTCCTCTCCCTCCTCCTCTCCCTCATCCTCCCCCCTCCTCCTCCCTTCTCCTCCTCCTCCTCCTCCTCCTCCTCCTCCCCTCCTCGTCCTCATCCTCGTCCTCCTCCCTCCTCCCTCCTCCCTCCTCCTCCCTCCTCCCTCTTCCTCCCTCCTCCTCCCTCCTCCTCCTCCTCCTCCTCCTCCTTCTCCTCCTCCTCCTCCACCTCCTCCTCCTCCTGCTCCTTCTCCTTCTCCTCCTGTTCCCAGCCCATGATCCTCCCTCCCTCGTCCTCCTCCTCGTCCTACTCCTCATCCCTCGTCCCTCCCCCATTCTTCCCCGTCGATTATCCTCTCCCCTCTCCCGCTCCTTCTCCTCAGAGAGGATCTGAGACGGCAGGATGGTGGGGAGGTTCAGCAGCTAGGCGCAACATTGTATGGTGGATGCGGCTGTGCTTCCCCAGTCGCTTTAAGCCGGCGCGAGGGCGCTGAATGTTACGACAATGTTTGATAATTCTCCAAGTGAGCTAGCTGAGCGAACTCGCTGAACCACCTGCGCCAAGAGGGCTGGTGGGATTGACCTCGTTGTGGCCGAAGGCGGGACGATCCGCTCCAGCGTGGCAGCGATGCAAGCGCAGGGGTGACGACGAACCGCGATAGGTTGTTGTTTTTGTTTTGATTTTGTTGCTGTGGAATGCCCATTTCTAAACAAGTATGCGGTTTTGCACGATGTTGTAATTTGCTCGCAGCGTCGGATCTCAGGGGACGCGCACGTGCTGCAGCGCCCGTGGGCCGTCATAGCACGCTTTAGCATGAGACCAGCGGCTCTGACGGAGACAGGGCCCTGGAAGAAGCTTGGCGCACTGCTCGCGGCAGCAGATGTGGAAGCCCCGTCCCCCTTCGCAGCTGGCACTCATGCAGTGTCCACGTTGTGCACTGTTGCCGCCAGGCCTTTCATTCTCAAAGTGGACCTTGTGGTGCCTGTTCCCTGGAGGTTTCAGCTTGGGTTAGAGGCTCTTGTGTTCGCAGCTCTGGGCATCAGTTGGTGACTCGCGTGATGCAGACTCCACGTCGCCCCCCCCCAAGTCCCCCGTCCTTCCGCTGAGCCCACGCTGTGTTCTAAATCGTATGACGCTTGTTCGCGCAGGCAAGGCAGTTGCAGCATCGGATGGCGGTGACGGTGCTTTTGCAAATTTCCATCTTGAGGCGTCGCACATCGCAGCTGGTGCGGCGCCGAGGTGTGTCAGCACTGGCAAATTGGTCGTGGATGTCATTGCTGGTGCATCTGCCGAAGCGGCGCGCCTGCCAGTGAAATTGCGGCAAGCAAAAGACGTTCCTCCATGAAAGAAGGGCGAGACTGGTCGGGCTCAGGTTTCTTCGGTCGACGTTGGATGCCATGGGTGCGGAAGCCTCTTCCCCGCCCCTCCTCCACATCATGACAACTACCCTCGTCTCTCCCAGACTCTGGCCGGAAGGTGTCCCGCCCCTGCGCGAGTCGATGTTTCACGCACAGGGTTTGAGCATTATGTCTTTCCGATGTGTCGTTCCAATGCGATTGTTTCGGGTCCTTCAAAATGGTGCTTCCGCTGCAGCGTTGGCCTCATTTCCGCGCTTCGAGTCCTCCAACATCGTGCTCCCGCTGCAGCGTGGGTCTCATGCCCTCGTTCGCGGTCCTTCCGAATGGTGCTCCCGCAGCAGCGCTGGCCTTGTTTCCACGCTTTAGGTTCTTCAAAATGTGGCTTCCGCTGCATCACCGGCCTCATCTCCAAGTTGTCGGTCATCCAGCACGGTTGTCTGGCCGCACCGTTAATGCAGCCATGGCACGCAATTTAGTGTTATGTTAGGAGTCGCTGTTATGCGACGTCATGCCTTGATTTGCAGTGCTGAGATATGCGATGCTGAGCTACACAATGCGATGGCATGATATGCTGTCCCGTGCCATGCCACGGCATGCCATGCAATGCTGCGTTATGTGCCGCTGTGCAATGCGAGTATTTGCGCTGCAATGTCATGATGTGCGATGCTTGGTTGCGCAATGCCACCCTATGCTATGCAATACTACGCTCTGCTGGGCTCTCCTACGCTACGCTATATGATGCTGTGCATCGCATGCCCTTTTGAGATCCTTATCTTCGACATCCGACTGTGCGCACAGAGACTGGGTCTACGCAACGGTAAAGGATGGAGGGAGGAACAGGAAACAGGCCGTCAGACATGGCGCAAGTGCACCTAGCTTGTCCCCTCCCTCCTCCCTCCACGCCTCCCCTCCCTCCGCCCCTCCCCTCCCTGCACCCGCCCTCCTCCTCCACCACCACCTCCCTCCTCCTCCTCCTCCTCCACCACCACCTCCCTCCTCCTCTTCCTCCTCCTCCTCCTCCTCCTCCTCCTCCTCCTCCTCCTCCTCCTCCTCCTCCTCCTCCTCCTCCTCCTGCTCTCTCGCCATGCACTCGTGTCGTATTCTCGCGTCGTGCTCTCTTGCCGTGCCGGCTGTCGGCGCTCCAGGTTAGGCCTAACCTGGGCGCCCCGGAAGAGGACGGCCTGCGGCGCCGCTCGTGGTCCTCGGCCGAGCGCTCTTCTCCCGCCATGTGACGCGCCGGAAGGGGTCCTCGCCATCACTCGGACGTCCATTCCCTGTGCTTTTGTTCGGTTTCGTTCGTGTTTTCTTCGCCAAAAATGGTCAAGGATGCTCCTCGATGGTCCTCGCCTAAGGAAAAATGCACACGTCCGAGCGATGCCAAGGGTCCTGCCCCTGGGGCGCCTCCGCACGCCCGAGAGGTGTGCTGCGCCCCCTGCCCGGAGAGGCGTGCCTACAGGGGAACGAGAAGTGGCACAAACAGAACCACTCGGAGGTCCGCGCGGATTTCTCGCATCGGCGCTGCACCCCCCCCTCCCTGGCGCGCGGAGCGCGCCAGGGGCGGCGCCGGAGGCGCCGCCAAGGGGGGGGCCCCCGCGCCGATGCGAGAAACCCGCGCGGACCCCCGAGTTGTTCTGTTTGTGCCACTTCTTGTTCCCCTGTAGGTGCTGCGCCCGCAGCTGCACCTCCGGGCTCCGCCGCGGGCTCGCCCCGGCGCCCTCCGCCCCCCGGCAGGCGCTCTGCCGCCTGGGCCGCTCGGGGCCCTCGGCCGCCCGGCCCCGTCGGCCTGCGCTCTGCCCCCCCCCCCCGGAGAGGCGCGCTGCGCCCGAGGCTGCACCACGAATCGGCGAGCGCGCTCCACTGCTCGTAAGTCGGGTTTGGACGAAAAATAAACCATCGTAAAAAAACCCTAAAATATTCAAAAATGGTAGAAGACATCGTCCCCAGACTATATCTTGCCCATTTCTGAATCTTCCCCTCGAGGGACAGGCCCGACGGAACACATGACTCGCAGGGTATAGCCGTCCGCAGGTGGCCCGGCTCCGCCGCGGGGGATCTGCGAGGCATGGCCTCCCGGGCAGCCTTGGCTGCTCGGGCGTCGGCGAGCAGGCACTTCCTGCGAGCAGGGGAGCGCGCGCGCCCGGCGCGCAGAGGCTCGGCCGGGCCCGCGCGCGTTTTCCGCCCCCCTGGCGCGCGCGGCGCTGCCGGGGGGGCCTCGCCGGCACGGAGGAGCAGACGGCTGCGGCTGGGGCGGTGGCCTCAGGAACGGTGCGCGAGGAGCGAGACCCCTTTGTGTTTTCCGTATAGGCGGAACTTCGCTTGCCCCATCGAGAGCCGAGGGACAACCTGAGGCAAACTGTAGAGCAGCTCGGGAACACGGAGCCCCTCCCAAACGAGGGTGAACTTCGCTTGCCCCTCGAGAACCGAGGGACAACCCGAGGCAAGCTGGTTAGAGCAGCTCGGGAGCACGGAGCCCCTCCCCCACGAGAAGGGGTTCCTGCTTCGGCGCCCCGACGTTAGACAAGCGTACACTCTCGGAGCTCGGCGCCGAGCCCCTGGATCGGCGCTGGACCCCACTCCCTGGAGCCAGGGGGCTCCAGCGCCGAGTCATACCAGCACTTTCTTCTCACAAGCACTACGGCGAGCGCAGGCTGGAGATGAGCAGGTCCCACGGGCCTGCCGCAGGCTGCCGATCCGCGAGGGGGAGAATAGAACGGGGCACGCGGACGGACACAAATCCCAGGTCCCAAGATTTTCTTAGATTTTCTGGATGTTCGTCTACCCCCCCCCCCCACTCCCCACATTTCCCCATGTTATCCGGAGGATCGACGACTAATTGTGTCTGCGTGTTTTTCCCCCCCGCGTGCAGCCGATGCTGGGAAGAGAAGTCGCTGCCAGACGAGTGGCACCAGACCGTCGTCACCGCCATCTTCAAAAAGGGGATGCGGCGCAATGTGCAAACTACCGTCCTATTTCATGGTCGCCCATCGGCTACAAACGGTACGCATCGGTTCTGCTCAGCCGACCGAAAGACGCGGGGCGTCCGAGGCTTTGTCCGTGGCGAGGCGACTGATCGAAGACGTCTGTGATGCGCAATCGGGGAAGTTGGTCTTCCTTGCCTGGGACTGGGCCGAGGCTTCCGACAGCGTCTCGCCGGACGCCCTGGTGCCAGCGCTCTCGCGCTTCGGCGTGCCAAGCTTCTTTGCCGAGATTGTGCGGTCGATCTACACTCGGGAGCGGCCAAGAGGGGGGTGTCCAAGAGGGGGGGGTGCAAATCATGACCGGCGGCATGTGCGCGACCCATCGGGGGGGGGGGCCAGGGACGTAATGAAATAAGAAGAGGCGCCACGAAATCTGGGGAAATATCATGGCCCCCGCCATGATATCCCCCCCCCTAGTCATCACCCCCCTCTTTGCAGCCCCCGATACACGAATCGCTCTTTCTGGGCTCGAGACGCCGGGGCGATCTCTCAACAGTATCGGCAAGAGTTCGGGATCTCTCAGGGATGCCCGTTGTCGCCGTTCCTGTTCTCGATCGTCATGGCCGTGCTGAGGCATGACGCAAAAAAAGATGTCCGGAACAAAAGTTTACAAGCGAAAGACGGCTTCCCGGTCGGCAAGCTCGTTTACGCGGACGATACTCTGCTGGTCGGGTCGACCGCCGACTTTGTCTTCGTCCTGATGCAGGTAATTCAAGAAAAAGGCAAGAACTATGGTCTGGCTTTCAACTAAGACAAGTTGGAAGCTCTGCCCGTACGCTGCGAAGCAGACATTCGCAGGACCGACGGCACGCAAATCCTTGAGAAATACAGCACGGTGTACCTCGGAGGCCTTTTGGATTCTTCGGGCACCTGCAGTGCAGAAGTGAGCAGGAGGATTGGCATGGCGCGCAGCGATTTTTATGCTTTCTGCAGAATTTGGAAGCACGCTCGTTTGTTTCTGCAGGAAAAAGTTGCCATATGTGGGGCCTGCGTCTCAGCTAAGTTAATGTACTGCCTTCATACGCTGTGAATCAACGTGCCTGACAGCAGCAAGCTTGACGCTTTGCAAGCGCGGTGCCTGCGCAGAATGGCCGGCATCGGCCACTCCTATTACGGCCGCGTCTGCAACGCGACCGTTTGACAGACTTCGTGATGTTTATCGTGTGCTTGAGGGGGAGGCCTCAGCAAAGGCATAATGCTGCCTCACCATGGCGAGCGGGATGAGTATGCACAAGTGCTCATGTCCGTCTACTCCAGATTTCGTAATCAAAGGGAGGGGGTCTAGATCCTCCAAGTCAAGCCATTTCAGACCTCCCCCGTGGGAGAACCCTCCAAAACATTGTCCCCAGACCCCCCAGGCCCTCCAGGATAGCCTGGAAGAGACCCCCCCCGAAATGAGACCCCCCTCCCTTTATTACGGAATCTGGAGTATGCACAAGTGCTCATGTCCGTCCACACCATACGCCCTGCAGTGCTGGCGACGATGGGATGCTCGAGGGGCTTCACGGCGTCCGGCTGCGGTCGCGTCGGCGTCACCTTTTCACGCCCAGGCACCTCTGACGTGCACGGCGCCTTCTCTCTCTCTCTCTCTTTCTCTCTCGTCTCTCTCTCTCTCTCTCTCTCGCAAGCTCATACAAATCCGATTCAACACACATAACTGCTACCTGCTCCCGCTCACTCCCTGGACCGCAGCGAGCATGGCTTGACCTCTCTCTCTCTCTCTCTCTCCCTGAGAGTAATGGCACGATCCGGACCTGTTGCTTCGCGCGTCGCGGCGGCGGCCCCAGCGACACGCCATGCCCTGCAGGCGGATCGCGTATCGCCGTATCGCTCTGCCCGGCGGGGCGGGAGGCTGGGGTCATCCTTGTTTTTAAGGGGGGGGGGGACCACTGCAGCCGAAGATGAAGGGGCCCCAGGACACACAGATAAATACACACAAATAAAAAGATTCCCCATATTTTCCTATATTTTCTGGGTTTCTGTCTCCCCCCCCACTTCCTACATTTTACCATATTTCTGGGGAATCGAGGATTCATTGTGTCTGTGTGTTTCTTTCCTCTCCTGAGAAGAGGGCGGCAAGGCAAATGGAGAAGCCGCAGAGCGCGCTTCATCGCCACGCCGGAACGGTCTGGACAGCCCGCGCTTGCTAACCACGTGAGGGCGGGGGCTGCTGATGCCCTGGGGCCGGGACGTCCTCGGCGTGTGACAGGGCCAGGACCGGGCGGCGCGCTGCGCCGGCCTTCCTGGCCGTGGCCGGTGGCCCCAGAAGAGGTCTCGGCACCCGGGCAGGTCGGGCGGGGAGTGGCCGCAAGGCGCGGCAGGACTGGGCTGGTGAGGGCTCTGCCCAGCTGGGTGCTGCGAATCCGTTGCCGCACGGCCAGGCGACCGCGTGAGATGCCCCAACCCAGAAACGAACTGAGAAGACCTCCTCCTCCTCCTCCTCCTCCTCCTCCTCCTCCTCATTTTCCTGGACACCGTCGTCCTTCGGCCAGCTGCAGCTCCCCGCCTGGACCACGTCCACAGCCGGCCCAGCTTCGCCCTCATGTATTTTGCACACTTGGAGGGCCTGGTACCCAGGCTCATGTTTCTTTCGCAGCGTCGACCCGCAGAGGTCCCGATCCATTCCCCTGGACCAAATTTTCACCTTGAACCGGTACTTGACAGTCCCGAAGACCGGTAAGGGCCTCCAGAGGCCGAAACTATGGACAAAACCTCCCCTCATGATTTGTTTCAGTACCCGAGGGGGTCTGGGTATCCTCGAGCCTCTCTCGGGATGCCCTACTCCTGATCCCTGGCAGGATCGTACCGAGCAGCCCCCCGGGGGCCGCCACTGCGCATGACTCCTGCCCAGAGCCTCGGTCGCCACACCAGCGTGATGATGAATCAAAATTGGTTTGAGCGCACCGACCGCTCGCAATCTCCTCTCCGCGGCAGTCATTGCCTCCCCCCGCCTCCCTGGTGTGAATTCGCCGTTTCGCTAGAATCGGCCCGTATCAGAAGGATGCGCGATAGGGATGTAAGGGCATTGGACGCCCATTTCTCAGCTTTTCGACAAGGGGCGCGGCCAATGGAAGTGGCCAAGGATGGACCGAGGAGGCAAGGATGCAAGGGTGTCCTTGGGAAGGCTGCCCATCCTTACTATGCCGGTTGACCGTACCCGACCTGGGCCCTCCAGCGCTCAGCGAGCGCCAGTGCGTCGACAAAGCATGTTTTGAAAAGCAGACCCCCCCTTTCAACACATCGGCAGCTTTTTTTTTTTTTTTTTTTTTTTTTTTTTTTTTTTTTTTTTTTTTTTTTTTTTTTTTTTTTTTTACTGCAGGGGGGAACAAACGCATCCGGGACAACATTCGGTATCGCGAGCACGCGGGCAGTTGCTATCATAGATGAGCAGTAAGTGAGCGGAAAAGAGGGAAGATAAACAGCTACTGTGGAGGCTCCCACCTGCCGCGGGGGGTGCCAGGCATCCTGGACGGCAGCGCCTCTGTACCTGTTCCATGAGGCAGAGGGGCAGAGGGGGGAGGAGGACGACGGGTAAGTCTGTGCACAAAGGCGGGCGAGCGGCCCGACCACGCATCAGATAAAGCCTGGTGTCTCCGAGATGGGGCAGGGGGGGAGGGGGGGACAAGGGTCGGGGGCATAACGCGCGTTATGGCCCAGAGGGTAAACATAACACTCTCCGTGGTGCAGCCACCTACCTACCCCCATTCAGCCAATGCAAGCGTTGGACTTTACAGTCCGAAGTGCCGGCCTGCTCTGGCAGGGGGGTCTCCCCAGAGGCCTCACGTGGCCTCCAGGAGGCCCAGGCACGCCGCAGAAACTGGAGAACAAGCACACACAGCCTCATGAACCTCGGCCTCGGGAACGTCGAATATCAAGGGGCATTCTCTTCACACGATGACGAGCATGCCGTCAGTGAAGGTGAGCATGCAATCAACCAAGACCGTCGTGAAAAGCAGCTGCATGACGGCGCTAGCGCCGAGCGCAGCTAAACCAAGTCGCCAAAACAACAGGACAAGAGAGGAATGGGGAAGAGGAGGAGTAGAAGGATACAGAGCGAGGTGGCACGAGCGAGCTTGGCGCGCTTGCAAGACGATTCTCCAGCAAGGGCGAAGGAATCCGATAGCTTCCCCGCCGGACAGCAGAGCGAGCAGAGACGTCGTGGCCATCGTCTGCCCTGCGCTACTGTGTGGCCGTCCCGAAGGGAGCATCTTAAACAATACAAGGTATCAATTACAGCAGCGCCAGGGCCGTGCCGTGCCAGACCAAGCGTCATCACACAAGATACGCAACATGGCCACAACGCACAAAAAAGCTGGACTGGCGGTCCGACTCTCCACTTGGTGCCACATCAAAGGCATTAACTACATCGAGTACGTGCCTCGTATTCTGCTTGGCGGTGACGAGGCAGCCCTCTGCCGCACGGTCTCCGTTGTGCCTGATCCTGCAGACGGGTCAGAGGCAGGCTCTGGTTCTGTAGGGGGGACGCACGTGCAACTCTTCGGGTCTCGGCCCGAAGGCTCACCACCGTCCGCGTGGCCGTTCCACGTGGCCGCCTCCTTCAAGTGCTTTGCAGTCTCGCTACCGCGCCAGCGAACTTCTGCTGCGACCTTGCTGACGGCGCCGCTGGAACGCCTTGTGCTCGAATCCCCGAATCTTGAATCGTGTAATGTTCTTTTGGGAGATTCATCAAATTCTGCGCACATGCGCTCAAAGTCTAAGTGCAGGTCCAGGGAGATCGTGGCCAGCGGCTTCTCATAGTCATGCTCGAACGAGGGCGTCTTCCGGGCCAGTGGATGCGTAATGGCCAGCAGGCTCCTGTTCATGTCCGACTGCAGATCCTCCAAGCATAAGTCGTTCGCCTCACCACCATAAGGACCTTCCATTTCCACAGCGATGTAGTGAACTCCCCAAAAGCACATCTGGCCGAGAAAGCACACAAGCATCGCTGTGAACACGCTTCGCAGTGACATGGCGCAGACCACCGAACTCGAAACCCAGTGGATAATCATAAGAGACGTGATCATCTGCGCTAGTATAAAAGGAATTGGGAACGCTTTGATCTGACGCGCCCTCGCCAATTTGACAAAGCCACCACCAAGCTGGTTGTAGACCCTGGTGAGAATCGGAGGGGCGATCTTGATGAGCTCACACTCTGCAGCCTCAACGATGCACCGCTGTATCCATTGCAGTACGAGCTCGCACTTATCGCACGTGGCAAGCAACTGTCTAAGGTGCGGTGTATCTACGCCAGAGAAGTCGATGAACTCGAGTTTCATCTCGGAACTCGCTGAGCACTGAGACAAAGCGCATCCATACAGAAGACTGAAATATCTCGCGACCTCGTGGATCCAGGATTCCAGCTTCTCCCGCAACGCTGGGTCCTGGTTCCCGAACGCGACCAAGGCCGAATAGGCGTTGAACCAGTCGGCGCGCACTTCGATCAGGGCCGTGCCCGCGCTCCACCATCGGTCGTACGCCTTCTGCGTCCTGAACACGATCAGGAAGCCCAGGACGAAGGAGAGGGAACTGCCATTCGAAGACATGTCCTCGAACCCGGCCACCGTCTCGTCGTCGATCAGCAGGCGCAGCAATCCGCTCATCAGCGCGGCGGGCACGGCCCAGACCAGCGCCTTGGGGATCACCGACCCGTGCAGCTGGAAGATGAACGCTATGGCCCAGTTGCCCTCGTCGTAGGCGATCATCCCCGTGCTCGAGCTGGCGGAGGAGCGGCACGCGATGGGACGAGTCGACTCTGCATGGCCTCGCTTTCTGGAACCGAAACGGCGACGGACGGATCCCAAGGGGCTCTTTGACCACGCGGATCGATGGAAGAGCCGAACTATGATGAGGCCTCCGTCCTCGTTGTCACGCGTCCGGCGGCGCACAGGGTGGGGTGGCAAGAGAGGGGCGACCTTCCAAGAAGACGAGGGGCATCCAAGAAGGGCCCGGAGGCTTCTGGGAGGGCTTCTCCTGGAAACCCCGGCATGCCTCTGACAAACCCGCTGCCTTCTCGGCGGGCCACCACCTCGCCCCGCTCACGTCTGCGCGCTGCGACACGACCTCCTCCTTACTGGGGACGCACAACGACATACTAGTACTGTACGTCCTCCTTGGAGGCGCGCGTCCGGCTCGAACAAATCTTTTCCCGAGCGGTGTGGCTGGAAAGCGCCCGCCACGACGCACATACCATAAGATTTCTCGGTGCGGGCGTCGCCCCGAAGGGTGGGAGGGCCACGCACACATCGTATCAGTATGCTGGGGTGACGCCGACTCGTTTTCCCTCATTGAGCTGGCAGGCGGGGAAAAGGGGTCCTCGTGCAAAAGCGGGCCTTCGACCCCGATACCGTCCCTGAAATCACGTTCTGGCCACGAGAAATCGAGGGGGCACCCCCGTCGTCGAGCATTGAAAACACGAGGGGCGCAGTGAACGTTTTCTTCTTCGTCGTTTCGACATTGGGCGGAAGGGGGGGGGGGTCTGGCTCCCGACCTCTGCAGGGTGCGACTGTCTGCAGCAATGCGTCCTAGTTTGAGCAAGGACCGACCGTCCCGGCATTCCTGTAGTCCTACCACGAATTGTTCTTAGAACCCCAACGTGTTCCAATAACAAAAACAACGTTCTTTCAACATCAACCCGATGTGATAAAACAAGACAGCCTCCGCCCTAAATGTTCTAAGCACATTTCGTGGAAACCACAAAAGGTTGTTTGAACTTTGTTTGGTGGGGCTATAGGCGAGCCAGGACGCTTCGCCACTGCTTGACTATTGGGGGAGGCCCCGCCTGCTCGAAACAAGCGCCCAAAGCAGCAAAGGGCGACTCAATAGTTTTTAAGAGGGGGTGAGGGGCGCGCGACAAAAGCCCACGACGTCATGATCCTTTCATTGCGTTGACCCACTCCTCCTCCTGCTCCTCCTCCTCCTCCTCCCCATCCTCCTCCTGCTCTCCCTCCTCCTCCTCCTTCTCCTCCTCCTCCTCCTCCCCCTCCTCCTCCTCCTCCTCCTCTCTTTCGTCTGGATATTCATAATCCTTCCGATAATATATCACGGTCAGTGGGCTCCGCCGATGACAAGGGGAAGAAGGGAGAATGCCGTCAAGCGTACAATAGGGTAACATTGAAGGGGGGAGGCTGGCCCGCCGGCCGGCGCACGCGCGCGAGCTGCAGGCTCGCTCTTTTTCCGTTCCCCTAGAGCCGAAATTGTATAGCTGCGGAAGCAGAAGCAGTTAGTACATCGGGCAGTGCGCGCAAGGCAAAGGAGCAGAAAGGGCTAAAGGATGGCGGCGCGGAAGGGGTGCATTGACTCCCCCCGCGGCGGGGTCCGTAGAGCCTCCCCGACCCCCCAACCCACCTGACCTGTACATATGTACAGCCACAAGAACGAACCCCAAAAACATGTTACCGCTCGACGGTGGTTGCCAGGGGGCGGAAGGCCGAAGAAACCCGACGTTCCCCGCCCGAGCTAATATTTCCCAGCTCAGGCCACAATGCCCGTGCACACCTTGTGCACCCGCTCCATGCTGCAGTTTGGACCAGCACCGACTATGTCGTACTGGTTCCTTTGTGCTGCGTCACCTTCGCCAACGACTCCTCCAGTCATGAGAATCATCCCACGTGTCTCTGTTACTCCAGTTCCACTGGTACTGATCTCTGGAGTAATTGTCATGTCTATTACCTCTTCTGCTTGAACTCCAGCTACTTGCCCTTTCGAACTTGTCGTTGTACTCGTTCAAACTGAACCGCGGCCGCGCTTTGTCACGGCCAGTGACTCGCTGATAACGAGATACACGTACGCAGTATACTTGCATTTCTCCATTCTCATTCCTGTCTTCGTAGTCGACCGTCGCGTCGTAGCCGCCGTCCACGGCCCGCCCAGGGCCGCCGCCATCGCTCGCGCGGCCGCCGCCCGGCTCTACAGCCAGTCTCTCTAGAACAGGCTCATCGGCCCAAGATTCATCTGCCCGCGACTGGATTCTGTCATAATCAATCCAGCCAGCATTGGTGCCTGACGCGGCTGGGCCAGCGGGCGCCGGAGCAAAGGGGGCGGCCCTATAGGACTGCCTTCCTTCCCGGTACCTCGGTATCGATTCAGGGCGAGGATGTCGCTGAGTTCGCGGCCCCGGAGCGGCGGCGCCGCTCGGGGCATTTTCTTCAACTATTGCGGCTGCAGCCTTTGCTGGAGACTCAGCTGGGATTGTCTGTGGGAGTCGGCTGGGCCGCCCTCCTGCTTTATCTTCTTAAGGCATTTGGTAATTCCAATGGCGTTGTCAGTATTGAAAACTCCAAGACGGCTGTTGGCAAGACAAATCTTGACACTAGAATGAGATTTCGTAGACGTACGCATGAAAACAATATCGCTTCTTGGATGCCTGAGCAATTCCGCCTTACGGTCTCTGATACTTCATGTCCTAATCATTTGGTCCATTCATGGAAGTAGGTCAAGTGATTCGACTGCGGACCTAATCCGACAAGCCAAAGCATTAAGCATCATTCATAGTTTCAAGAACTGCATTCGCATTCGCCGGGTCACGCTGCACCTCGCGGCCCGGAAATGCAACATTGACTCCCGCAGAATTGAATAAGAACAATACTTCTCGCACAGCTGACAGAATCCGCCCCCATCTTCCGCGCGTGGGGACTCGAACGAAAGGTTTGTTCCATATTTTGCCCACGAGATCGGACAATCCCGGCGGTGCATCATGAATGATGTCTTTGTCCAATGGCATCGTAACTGGAACTGTAAATAAATATTCAAGAACGAATTGTTGCAACTCTGATAACTCCTGGCCTATCGCGCCACCAAAAACAAACAAAATCAGCCAAAAGGGCAACGTTCTCGTCGAAACAATCAGCGGATGATGCTGGGCTATATGTTGGTTGCATCTGCCGTCCGACGTCGCAGCCTTCTCTGCACGTGCTGATATCACTTAATCAATGCGGCTGGGCAGATGATGCAGTTCAGCAACAATGCGACTTGGTTCGACGCAAAAGCTCGGTTGGCTTCGTTCAAGATGTCCGTTGACACTTGAACTGATGGATTTATCAATCCCATAGGCCCCCTTGGTCCCTGCCTGTCCCTGGGCGAATTTGCTCGGCACTAACGTGTTCCCAATCAAAAACAGCATGTGCAGAGCATCTCACTGGACGAGCATATTGGTCTAGATCTGGCGTCCAGATTCATGGCCACCACTGAGCAGCGGTTGGGGCATTGTCCCCATGCTCGAACGTCAGCCATTCAATGAATCGAAGATTGAATGGTTCCAGATACTGGAGGTATGGCAAATGACGCACCGGCGGCTGTGCCGAGACGCTGTCGGGTCTCCAGGAAGGGGCAGTCCCTGGCCGCGAATTTACAAACGTACAACCTGCCAAAGCAGCCCGGGCACGTATCTGTGAGTTGCTAACCCACTTGCGCTGGCGTCTTTCAGGTTTGTTCAAATTTTCCAGCGCATCAGAAGAGCTCTTTTCTTCGCTCTCAGCCTGTCAGAAATGATCTGGGAGCCGCTTTCCCCTCTTGGGGGGGGGCATCTGGACGTGGAGTCAGTCCTCGGATCGCCCATGCAGCAACCAATGCATCTCTGCCAGGCGATTGGAAATAGTTCACTCTGACGTTGTGCTTATACGCGACAGGAGTGAGGCATTGGAGGAAATATGCGAAACCAGCCCTCACGGCATGGTATTGATTGCGCATGTACCTCCCATCGTCAGTCCACATTCTCCACGTGATGAGGGCCTTTTCTTCTTCGGACAATGCACTCTGCCCTGCATCGGCCACTTGTTCGTCAAACAGCATACATGTTCTAATTGCGCCGTGCGAGAAAGCAACTTCATACGCAGACCACTCTGATGAACATATCACGTTCCAGATCATCTGCCGCGCCTCACTTGCATTCTGTTCAACCAACGCCAATTGAACGATACGAGAGACGTCATTGAAGCCTGCTTGTCCTGCCGTCAAAAGAGTTCCGCCGCGGCAGATGCGATGCCTTGGGCGGGTCACCACCCGCCCGTTGAAGACAACAACATATTGCCAGTTCTCGCCATGCGTCGCATCAGGTTCCCAGAAAGATGGGGTCACTGCGCGAGGCCACGTTCCCTGAGTCGGAGGTCCACCGCCGGCCGGGGCAGCGCCCGCAGCCTGATAGACCTTTGCGAGTGGAGCTTCACCATCCTTCCGCTGGCTGAGCCAGTGAGGGACATGCTTGGCGTATTCAGCAGGGAGCTCTCGCCTCGTAGATATCAATCTAAGAAGTCCGTAATCAGGTGCTTTGCACCATCCGCTAAGCTTATTCGGGCACTTGCTAGCCCCTGATCCTAATGTTGACTCCTTGATGGTTTCTAGGGAAATAACGTGAAGTAGATGCCCACGACAGCGCGCCATCCCGAATTCGCAAGGCGCATACATGCGTTCTATGCTGTGGGCAAAACAAGAGTGTCCTTGACATGCACGAAAGAACACTGGCATGGGCCTATAAGCCCGTTCGGCTCTATCAGTGGAGATGACTCTGTCTCCATTTTCCTCATCAGCGACTGCGTCGTGTGAGGCGTCTGGATTCAGAAAGGGCTGCCAGTGATCCATTAGTTTGATCTCATCGAGAACCATAATTTCGTCAGTCTCTACGCCTAGAACATCAATCTCTCCCGACGGTAACATTGTTAGGCCATGCGCTGCAAGAGCAGCGGCGGCATGAATGGTTCCATCGCTCCTCATCTCCCGAACGAGATCGCCTGCATACACCCACCCGCCCGGTGATTGGGCGTATTCGGCACAATGTCTGGCCATGTACACCGCGCACGCACTTTCAAATTGCGCATCGGAGTGCGTTCGGTGGCTGCATTTTCTCAAAAACTCTGAGCTCCCCAACGCGGCGGACCTCTGGCCCTGCCTCGCCATGTTTGCCCCCGCTTCCTCGGCTGCGCCGGTGGCGTCATTCGGGAACACCAGAGGAGTCAGAGCAGCATGGGCCTCCTGGGGGGCGAAATCTGCTCTGTCATCTGAGTCAAGATCTGCTTTGGGAAATTTGATCGCTTGATTAAATCCTGCCGCATCTAGCTCCCCTAGCAGCGCAAAAATTAGGTCGTGCACCATGCGTGCGTTTTCCTTGATCGTGTGATAGGCACGCCCACGAATGGCTGCGATGTGGGGGCGCACTGGGCC